CAAAAAATCTATTGAAAGCTGGAAAAACTGTTTAAATGAAGCTGAGGATAGACTTTCAGACCTTGAGGATAGGATTGCAGTTAGCAGTCATGAAAGGATAAAACTTTAAAATGCAGCATGAAATGACAATTCAGTAGCTTCAAGACAATGCCACAAAAAACAATATAAGACTAATAGGCATCAATGAAGATGCAGAAGCCAACACAAATGACATCGGTAAAATAATCACTGAATACCAAAAAATTTCCCAAATATGGGGAAAAAATCTGATATGCAGATACATGAGGCATACAGAATGCCAAACAGTCATAACCAACATAAATCTACACCCAGACATACAATAATTAAGATCCAAGATACACAGCATAAAAACAGAATACTAAAAGCTGTTAGAGAAAAGACACAACTCACCTATAAAGGAAAGCCTATTGGAATCATGGTAGGCTTTTTAACACAAACCTTCAAGTCAAGACTAACTGGGAGGGAGGTGTTTCAAGCCCTGAAAACAAAACAACTTTTAACCCAGATTGATGTACTCAGGTAAACTTTCTTTCATATTTAATGGAGAAACAAGATACTTCCATGACAAGGAACAACAGACAAAATTCATGTCCAAAAACCAACCCTAGAAAGAGTACTAAAAGACATACTAGATAGAGATAAAAATGACCACAATCTCCAGAAAAACAACAGAAAGAAATCACTAGGCAGGACAAGCAATTAAACAAGAGAGAAAAGCAGAAAACTAACAACAGGAACATAACATGACAAAGTTGAGCCACTACGTATGTTATATCCATCACTGTAAATGGCCTCAATTCACCTATCAAAAGAAAAAGGTTGACAGAATGGATCAAGAAACAGGATCCCATAATATGATATATACAAGACATACATCTGACTCAAAAAGAAACTGAATAGATTAAAAATCAAAAGATGAAAAACAGTATTTCATGCAACAGGAACACAGGAAAAAGCAGGGGTGGCTATTCTTTTTGCAGACAATGTGAACTTCAAACCTAAAATGATTAAAAGAGATAAAGAAGGTCACTATATACTTGTTAGTGAAAAAATTCAAGAGCAAGAACTAACAATTATAAATATATATGCACCAAATAAAGGAGCACCCAACTATATAAGGCAAATACTAATGGACATGAAAATCCAAATACACAAGAACACAATTGTAATAGGAGACCTTAATATCCCACTGTCACAAACAGATAGATCAAATGGACAAATGTCACCAAAGAAATAATAGAACTGAATTATACCTGTGAGCAAATGGACTGAGAAAATGTTTACAGAGTGTTCCACCCAACTACATCAGAAAATACATTCTTCTCAGCTGCGCATGGGACATTCTCCGAAATAGACCAAATATTAACCCATAAAACATCCTTAAGTAAATGCAAAGGGATTTAAATTATCTCATACGTATTATCTGACCATAGCACACTGAAACTGGAAATTAATGACAAAATAAATTGCAAAACTTACACAAATACATACAAATTAAGTAACAACTTTCTGAAAAAACTTTAGATTACAGGTTAAATTAAAAAAGAAATAAAACCATACTTACAATTCAATGAAAATGCAGATACAGCATATTGCAACCTGTGGGAGGCAAAGTAGTCATAAGAGGGAAACACATAGAAATAAACTGTCATATCAAGAAAATGGAACAGGTACAATAAACAACCTGATGCTACATCTCAAGCTGCTAAAAAAGGAAGAGCAAGTCAAACCAAAGCTCATAGAATAAAGGAAATTGTAAATATCAGAATAGAAATTAATGCAATTAAAACTAAAAAATACAAAGATTTAATGAATCAAAGAGCTGGCTTTTTTTTTATTTAAGGAGAAAAGAAAAGAAAGAAAAAAACAGTGAAGGGGTACAAGTTATACAGATTTACAGAAGAAAAAAATGCGCAGTAGGAAATCACTAGTTAATGGATTACATATTGCCATCTTAGAAATAATTGTTCGAGTCACAAAATTAAAGCTTGTAGAGTGGACATTCCAACAATGATACTGCAAACAGTTCTGTTCAATGATCCAATAAAACTCTGTGATATCATTTTCTATCTTATACATTTAAATATACATGCAGTTATATAGTTTAGAGCACTTTTTTTCCTCTCTTTTGTACCGTGACTATTACACATTTTGGGTTTCATTGCTCCCATGGTTCTTATTGCTTTTTTGGAAGAGAGTAGAACCAAATGTGACATAACAGAACAGAATCGGTCAAGTCAAAAGGGTGGACACAATAGATAATATAAAAACATAATACAAGGTGATCAACAATGGTTACCATAATGCCTCCCGCTATTTCTAATAGAATTGCCTATATCATTAGTTGTAATACAATTGAACAAAACAGTAAAGAATAAAACCGACAAAACCAAAACATTGGAGATATTGTAGGTCTTCAAAAGTAGATAAAAGTCAACGAGAATGGGCGTTATAATGAATCTCATTATCTTCTCAGCTGATGCCTAAACTTTCGAACCTGATACTATCCAGCAAAACAGAATAGAGAAACCTCAGTCAAAAACAAGATGGTGAGAGTAATACAGGGCTTCAAATCGAGATAATAGAAAGTCAAAGTGGGTTACTATATTATATCCTGCTATATTTTTCCCTTTAATTAAATGGATAAAAATAAAAAAGTAAATAATGGAGTGGAGATTGAGAAAAAAGAGGGCATAACAGCGAAACAGGGCAGATCAAAACATAACCATTTAAGCAGAATAGTGTTTCACCACCAGCTAATCCTGACCCCAAAATAGTTACCATATTGACTCCCTCCCTGAAGTCCTTGAGTACAACTTCATATACTGTAGCATTAAGTATATCAAAACAATGTAAAACCATTTAAGAGAATGACAGCATTATAGAGTATTTAGAATTGACTAACAGAAAATGAACAATGGTCTCTGTATAATCTCCTTGTCTTTAAAAGGTTTTTGCTTATACTATCGTACATAACAAAATCCAATAAGATACAACCTGTTTAGACCATTGGAGACAGAAGAACAAAAGCTAGATGAGACTTCAAAACAAGATGGTACTAAATCAGCATTACCTATTAAGATGTCATTTTCTCCAAAAAAAGCTGTTCCTATCATCCAATCTTCTCTGTCTCATTTCTGTTGAGCTCTTTTTCTGTCAGTAGCTGTCAGTTTGTCTTCTTCATTTTGTTCTCTGCTCCATTCGTTGTGGCCTCCCCGCCACTATTTCTGGGTTCTTTGTATTTTTCTTTTTTTAGAATATCCTGCAATACTTTCTGTAGGGTTGAATTGGTGGTTGCAAATTCCCCCAGTTCCTCTTTATCCTGGAAGCACCTTGTTTTCCCATCAATTTCCAGGGACAGTTGTGCAGGATATCTCAATCTTGGCTGGAGATTATTATCTTTCAAAGCTTGAATTATTTCTCCCCATGCTCTTCGTGATTTGATGGTTTGTGAAGAGAAATCTGCTGTAATTCTGATGGGTATTCCCTTGTAAGTGATCTGTTTCTTGTCTCTTACAGCTTTTAATATTCTGTTCTTGTATTGAATTTCTGGAATTTTTATTATTATATGCCTGGGTGTTTCTCTGTTAGGGTTGTAGGTAGCTGGGGTCCTGTATGCCTCATACATCTGAGTATCTTTACCTTTTGCTAAATTAGGAAAATTCTCCTGGATTATTTCTGTGAGTAGCTTTTGTAGTTCACTTGTTTGTGTCCCTACTTCTTCTTTTATGTTCTTAATCCTTAAGTTATGGCTCCTCTTATCATCTTCTTGTCTTTGTATTATTGCTGTGTGTTTCTTTGTTATTTTTAAGAAGTTTTTCATTTCATTCTCCCATGTTTCAAGTCTGCCCTCCAATTCAGATAGTCTGTCCTTAGTTTCTTTCAAGCTGTTATGCCAGTCTTGGATAGACTTCTTAATTTCTTGATAGTCCCTTTGAACCTGCTTCACATACTCAATGCTTTCTCTGTTTTCTCCATCAAGCAATTCTCCCCTCTTTTTCTGTTCTTCCATTCCACCATCTGCTTTTTCCTGGGTGGTACTTAGCATTTCTCTAACTATTCTGCATACTTCTAGCTTCAGGTCATTGATAACTTCATTCCTGAATTGGTCTATGAGGCTCTCTAGATGGCGCTTAATGTATATTGGTGCGGTGTCCACTATTGCCTGTTTCTCAGGATTGGGGGCCGAGGAGCCTTTTTTGTTGCTTCCCTTCCCCATATTTTCTGTTCCTTATAAAATGCAATCTTACATAGGAGGCCCGGCTTCCCTGCCTGTCAGCCACAGCCTGATCAAATTGCACTGGCTAGTTGTTCCCGCCCACCGCTGCGCCCCAGGGAGTTGCGGAGGAGGCAGCCTACGCGGGAGTCGGTCGCTCCTCCGGGCCACCATCAGGCTCTGGGATCTGGGTTAGGCCAGCCTAGGGAGTCCGCCAGCAGCGTCACTCAGGCCAGGCACCTTTCACCAATCCCGTCCGAGAGGGGAATGTGCGGCTAGAGTTGCCACCGCGCCCTGCTCTTACAGGACTGCCCGAGCCCAGAAAAACCTCCGCTGGAGTCAAACTGTGGTAGGGAGTCAGTTTCTCGCTCACCTCGCCACCAGTCAGTTTTCCTCCTTGTCCGTCCTGTTTCCGACTCCGTTCGCAGACTCCCGTTCCCAGAGCTCGGCGCGTCTCTCATTGCCGAGCCGCTTGTGGAGGCAGCCAGCCGCCAGGCGGCGGGAAACCCAAATCGCGGTTTCCAATGGCGCGCGGTCGAGCCTCCACACCGAGACTTCTCTGTTCCTATTTTAGCGTCAGGACCGCATTCCAAGTTGGATTCTCTCAGCCCAGTTCGTTCCTGAGTCAGCAGAGCACATCTCTACTGGTTCGTATCTCCTTAGTCCGCATCATTCCTGGCCTCTGAGCCGAGCCTTTCAGAGAGCTTTCAGTAGCTGCTGCTGTCTGTCCGCCATGTTCTCCGATCAAAGAGCTGGCTTTTTGAGAGAATAAACAAAATTGATAAACCTCTAGCCAACCTTATTAAGAAAAAAATAAAACTCAAATCCACACAAAAAAAGACTTAAAATAGAGAAATCAGTACAGATCCCATGCAAATTCAAAAGATCATGAATACCTATTTTGAAAATCTAGTCACATAGGGTGAAAACACAGAGGAAATGGACAGATTTCTAGAAACATATGAATCACCAAAGCTCAATCAAGAAGATATAACAATTTTGAATAACCCAGTAACAGCTACTGAAATTGAAAACATGATTAAAAACTTACCAACAAAGAGAAGCCCAGGTCCTGATGGATTCATGACTGAATTCTACAAGAAATTTAGGGAAGGTTTGATGCCAATACTGCTTAAGCTCTTCTATGAAATTGAAAGGGAAGCAATCCTCCCTAACTCATTCCTGGAAGCAAGTATTACTCTGATACCAAAAGCAGAGACAGACCCAACCACAAAGGAGAACTATAGGTCAATTTCCCTAATGGACATCGATGCAAAAATTCTCAGTAAAATACTGGCAAATAGAATACAGCAAATCATCAAGAAGATTATACATCTCAACCAAGTGGGATTTATTCCAGGAATAGTTTAACATATGCAAATCAATAAATGTAATACACCACTTCAACAGAGCCAAAAACAAAAAACACATAATCAAGAAGAGCAAGGAAAGACAAAAGCTCATAGAAGGGAGAAAATTATGAAGATTAGAGCAGAAATTAATACAACTGAGACTAAGAAAACAACACAAAGAATTAATGAAGAGTAGGTTCTTTGAAAGAGCAAACTAAATTGATAAACACCTAGTCAACCTTATTGAGGAAAAGAAAGAAAAAACCCAGACTTGCGCAATAAGGAATGAAAAGGGTGAAATTAATATAGATCTTCTGGCTATTCAGAAGATCATGAATATCTATTTTGAAAATCTTTTTTTTTTCTTTTTGGTACCAGGATCGAACTCACCACCTCACGCTTGCCAGGCAGGCACTTACATCATTGAGCTAAATCCCTGTCCCTACTTTGAAAATCTTTACTTACATAAGGTGGAAAGCACAGAGAAATGGACAGATTCCTAGAAACATGTAAATTACCAAAGCTGAATCAAGAAGATATAAAAATTTTGAATGATCCAATATCAGTTACTAAAATTGAAAACATAATTAAAAACTTACTAACAAAGAAAAGCCCAGGTCCTGTTGGATTCAGAGCTAAATTCTGGAAGAAATTTAGAGAAGATTTTATTCCAAAAATCCTTGAAGTCTTTAATGAAATTGAAAAGGAAGCAATTCTCCCTAACTCATTCGTGGAGGCAAGTATTACTCTGATACCAAAATCAAAGAAAGACTAAACCAAAAAGGAGAGTTATAGGCCAATTCCCCTAATGAACATCAAATGCAAAAAATTCTCAATAAAATATGAGCAAATGGAATGCAGCAAAATCATCAAGAAAATTATAGACCATGACCAGTGGAATTTATCCCAGGAATGCAAGGATGGTTTAACATATGCAAATCAATAAATGTAATACACCAGATCAACAGAGCCAAAAACAAAAAACACATGATCATCTTAACAGATGAAAAAAAAGCTTTTGATACAGTCCAACACTTTTTCATGATAAAATCTCTACAGAAGATCAAAATAGATGGTCTCTAGGTCAATCTGATAAAAGCCATCTATGAAAAGCCAACAGCCAACATCATATGAAATGTACAAAAACTGAAATCTTTCACTCTAAAATCAGGAACTAGACAAGGATGTCCACTATCACCACTCTTATGTAATATAGCTCTGGAAACAGCAAGAGAAATTAGACAGAAAAGAGAAATAAAAGGGGTGAGAATAGAAATGGAAGAAGTTAAATTATCACTGTTTACAGGTGACATGATACTCTACATAGAACACCCCAAAAACTCCACCAAAAGACTATTAGAGTTAATAAGCAAATTCAGCAATGTAGCTGGATATAAGGTCAACACTCAAAACTCAATAGCATTCCTGTATACAAACGGAAAATTCACTAAGAAATTATGGAAATAATTTCACAACAGTATCTAAAAAATGAAACATGTAGGAATCAACCTAACAAAGGATGTAAAAGACCTATACATTAAAAACTATAGTACTCTAAAAAAGGAGATTGAAGAGGATGTCAGAAAATGGAAAGATATTCTTTGCTTTTAGTTGAGAAGAATCAACATTTTGAAAGTGGCCATACTTCCAAAACTGTTATACACATTTAATGCAATACCAATCAAAGTACCATTAACATACCACACAGAGCTATACAAAACATTTCTAAAGCTCATTTGGAAACAGAAGAGCCCTTGAATAGCAAAGGCAATCCTGGGTATGGAAGAAAGGCAGGAATCATACCTATCTATCCCTGACTTGAAATTATACTACAAGCTGCAGTGATAAAATCAGCATGATACTGGCAAAGAAATAAGCCCTGAGAATCAATGGAACAGATTAGAAGATGCAAACACAACTCCAAAGACTCAGCTACCTTATATTTGATAAAGGGGCTAACAATGTTCACTGGAAGAAGGATAGCCTCTTTAATAAATGGTGTTGAAAACTGGCTTTCCACATGCCAAAGACAAAAACTAGACCCACACCTATCACCATGCACAAAACTAAAGTCAAAATGGATCAAAAATCTAAACACTAAAATAGAAACACTTTATCTACTTGAAGACAAGGTAGGTAGAAATCTTGGAGACATAAGGGTAGCCAAAGAATTCATGAACAAAACACAAAACACAGGAAGTACTTCAAAGAATCAACAACTGGGATCTCACGCTATTCAAAACGTTTTGTACTTTAAAAGAAGTCACCAACAAAGTGAAACAAAACCCCACAGAATGGGAAAGAATTTTAGCCAGCAGCCACTGAGACAAAGGATTTGGATCCAGAACATATAAAGAATTGAAAAACATCAAACCCCTCAAATTCAAAGACCTTCTCCAAATGGGCATCAGAGATGAACACACATTTCTGAGATGAAGATATACGAGGGACAAATAAATACATGGAGAATGTCCACCATCACTGGTCATTTCAGAAATGCAAATTAAAACAGCATTGAGATTTCATCTCACTTTAGAAAGAATGGCTGCCCTCAAGAAATCAATTCATAACAAATGTTGGTGAGGCTGTGGAGAAAAAAAAACATTCCTACACTGTTGGTGGGAGTGTAGGCTGGTGCAGCCACCCTGGAAATCAGTATGAAGATTCCTCAAAAGGAATTAAAGGAACCTCAAAAGGATTATAAGTTCCATTCAATCCAGCTACTCCCCTCCTGTGCATTTTCCCACTAATTGAAAAGGTCATGTCTCAGCAATATATATGCCCCCATGCGTATAGCAGTGCAATTTGTAATAGCTAAATCTTGGAAACAATCGAAATGCCCATCAAACAGAGAATGGATGAAAAAGATGTGGTATTTTTATACAATAGCATATTACTCAGCTATATAGAAGGATAATCTTGAGGCTTTTATAGGTAAATGGAGGCAACTTGAGACTATCCCCATAAGTAAAATAAATCAGATTCATATTTAGAAATATTGTATTATCTCTCTAGTATAAAAAAATAATAAACTGAAAGAGTAATAAGATCCAAAATGTACAATAGATATTGTGATAATGAAAGGGAAAGTGCTCTAAAGGATATAAGTATAAGTATGTTTAAGTATGCAAGATAGATAACCGTAGTACTAAGTTTTTGTTAGTTTATCAAGCAGAATGTTTTATACTGTGATTGACTGTCCAATTTTTATACTTTGATTTTGTGACGAGCAAGTACTTCTAAGATAACAATATATAACTTATCAACTAGTGATTTCTTACTGTTTTTATTGAAATTCTGTATTATTTCTACTCTTTTTTCTGTTTTTCTTTTTTTCTCTAACTAAAAAAAAGAATATGGTTAAAGGTAGCAAAGCTCTTCCTCACCAGCACACCTGAAATCCCCACCTACACCTCCCTGAAGAACTGTCAGCTCTCCTGAGCTCCCAGACCCAGGCACGAGAGATGGCCCAGCACACACTTCATGACTGAGGCTATAGGGAACCATGAGACAGATCCATGGGACACTGCCCTTGGTGTGGGGCCTTCTGAAGAGTTCCAAGCTCAGTCCATCCCTCCATCACTGGAAAGCTACTTGTTTCCAAAGACAGCACAGGCTGGGAAGTGGAAACGGAGATAGAAAAAGATAAAACATCACAAACCCCATGGTTCTTTAGGAGGGTTCTGCATCTTTTGTTCAATTTATGTTCCTTACATTGCTGTAAGCTTTGAGTTAACCTCCAGAGTCTTGGAAACACTGATTCTGGTAGTTTTCCAAGTATCCTCTCCTCACTGTCATAGAGAAATGAGTTTATTTCACTATTTAAGAAGTCCTATTTCTCTCCATGATTTTGTAACTATATTTTTTATGGTAGTCCCAAGTTGTTTAACAAACCACCAACTTTATAATTTAAAAAAATTAAAAATTACTCAGTTTGGCTAACAAAATAAATCCAAATTCAATTAAAAATTGCAATACTGAAATTCCCAGGCATACATCTCTAGTTCTTTCCCCATATACATCTGACCATGGGCTCATTTCACACAATTCTGTTTTCTTTTTCTATATCAAGATAGGCAAACCATAGGCCATGATCTGTTATGCCACTGCCTCTCAGCTAAAAATGGCCTTTAATGTTCTTAAAAAGATTGTGACAGTAAACAAAGAAAAAAAACATGAAGAATCAGTATGTGGCCTACAAATTTAAGTAGTTTACTCACTGAGTATTCAGAGAAAAAAAATTTTTAATTTTGGAAATGCTGGGACCTCAGGGCCTCGTGCATACCAGGCAAGTGCTGTCAGCCCTAGACTGATACTTCCTATCTAATACTCTGAAATTAAAGTTAAAACCTCTCCAAACTCCAAACAGATGTGTCTCTGCTAGGGCCTCATTAATTATGAGAAATACATACCAGAAACTGTCTCGGTCAGCTATGCTAGCACAAGGTATTTCTTTCTGAAAATTACACATACAGGCAAAATTCTATGTTACTTAAATAGAAAAGATCAATAGGCTACCAGATTCATTTATCTTCTCAATGATACTCTAAAATTTCTTGATTCTCACATTCCGTCACATCAACACATTCCAAACTCGCAGTGGGGATGGGGGAGGCAGATGATGTCACTATTGCAAATGCATGAAGTATTTATCACAAGATCGTTTGTGCTCTCGACCCCTTCTTCCCATCTATGACACCAGACCCTCAACTCCCGCTTCCACCTACTCACCCTGTACCCCTGCTCCCAGCTCCTGCACTTCACCTATAAAGTAATCAATTCCTTACTCTACTGAAACAAAGTCAGTAACAACAAGCTCTCAATTTTTTAGATCCAATTTTATATTCTCCAATTATTTCTTTATATAGCAATTCTTGCTTTTGTTGTCACAAATTTATGACTTCATTCCCTTATTCCAAATATTCAGTGATTTTGCTCCTTCCAATCTTCCCTTTCTTGGATCCTCCAGCTCACTATTCCTTTCTTCCCTGAACCCTTCCCCCTCTTTAGTCTTTCCTTCTCCTAGAACCTAAAGCTCTTCCTGTGAGGTTAATGGCTCTTCTGTCTCTCTCCCTTTCAGTGACAAAATTCTTGGCCTACTTCTTTCTTACAAAGTTCTGTAACTCTTTTAAATGACCAACATTTTTGTTATCAAAATTAATAGCCTCCCTCAAGTTTTTAAGATTTTCAATCTTCCTTCGGTTTTTTTTTTTTTTTCTTTTTGGGGTTTTTTTTGGTGCTGGTGACTTAATGTGACCTCACACTTGCCAGACAGGCACTAATGCCAGTGAGCTAAATCCCCAGCCCCTTCCTTCAGTATTTGATCAGATTCTTATATTTTCTCCAATCTTCTGTCTTACAAACTCTTCTAGTTCAATTTTTCTAAACACTCATATATTATACATTGAAAATATTTCCCTTCGTTTCATCCCTGAAAGTTTAAGTCTTCCCAAACCATATATACTTTACGCCCTTTATCTGTCTACATTGGTATCTTTGTTAACCTTCCTCAATCTTCAAGCTTTACCTATGATTTTTACACAGATGGTTTCCAAGTCCACAGTCTTCATTCCTGGATGACCTCTCCTCTCCCTCCTCTTCCTTCCTTTTCTACCTCACCATCTATCTACTCTTTGGAATCTTTCTCCATCAACTTTCCCCTGTCCCCTTCTCTCCATCCTTACTGTTACTTCCCTCTTTTACACCACTGCAGCCTAGATTCTAACAGTGGTTTCCCAATCATGCTTTCTCTCCCCTTCTCAGTCCATCTCCAATCCACCTCTGGACTGCTGCACAGTACACTGTGAGTCACACTGCTGATCAAGTCACTCTCCTACTTAAAAATCACTCAGTGTACTAAATGCCACTGTGCTTAAAGTGGCTTATGTAACTTCATCTCATTAAAAAGTTTTTATAGAGAAAAAGCCAACACTACCTTCCTTTAGAGAAGGGTTCAAATGCCCTGCACTTAGCTATGAATTAGGCTTTCCAAGACTGCCCCCAAACCATCTTTGAACCACTCCCTACTTCCTCCTTTTCAGAAACCTTCTTTCAGTCTAACTGCTCTCATGTGGAGGGATGCTGATGATTTCCATCCTATCATTCTTCCTAATATTTGCTTCCCTAATATTTGCTGGCACCAGCGGCACACCTCCAAAGCTTAGCGCTTTGTCATAATTTAAATCTGACCTTTTCTTGAAAGCCTTTGCTCATTTTGCTGATTTCCTTTCCCACTTTCATCTTGAAGTATAAACAGCCTCTTCTGACTCCCAGAAACATTGCATTGGTCAGTCATTGCTTCACTCATCAGGTATCTTCCATATGACAGACCCCACCATAAATGAAGCCTCGATTTGGAAAATGATTTCCAAGGCCTGCTGATTCTGACTGCGGGATGTGTCTGTAGACAAAGTTACACAGCTGGTAAAACCTACACAGACTCCTCTGCATCATCACCACATCACATATGGGGACGTGTTCTTCTACCAGGACACCAGCCAGCCAACACACGGTGGAAACCAATAACAACAACTTGCAAAAGTTAGTTGGTTCTAAATACCATGTGATACTGGCATTCTCTTGAATGGTTTTACATTTTCTTGATATGTTTGGTGCTACAGTATACGAAGTTATACTCGAAAGATTTCAAGGAAAGAGACACTATGGTAACTATTTTACGTCAGGATATCTTGTGGTGAAACACTATTTTGCTTAAATGGTTATGTTTTGACCTGCGCTGTTTGGTTGTTATGCCCTCTTTTATCTCAATCTCCTTTTTTATTTACTTTTTTATTTTTATCTTTTTAATTAAGGGAAAAATAAATAAAAATAGCAGGATACATTAGAGTAACCCATTTTGATTTCCTATTAACTTGATTTGAAACCCTGTATAACCCTCACCATCTTGTTTTGACTGATTTTCCCCTATTCTGCTTTGCTTGATAGTACCAAGTTCAAAAGTATAGGCAATAACTGTGAAGACAACAAGATTCATTATGATGCCCATTCTGGCTATTATCTTCTTTTAAAGTCCTGTAATGTCTCCAATGTTTTGGTTTTATTCTTTACTGTTTTGTTCAATTTTATTATAACTGATAATATAGGCAGTTCTTCTTAAAATAGCAAGAGGCAGTATGGTAACCATTGTTGATCACCTTGTATTTTGTTTTTACATTATCTATTTTGTCCATCCTTTTGATTTGACTGACTCTGTTCTGTTATGTCACATTTGGTTTTACTCTCTTCAAAAAAAGTAATAAGAACTGTGGGAGTAATAAAACCCAAAATGTGTAATTGTCATTGTACAAAAGAAAAGAAAAGAAAGTGCTCTAAAGGATATAACTGCATATATATTTAAGTGTATGAGATAGATAACCATATTACTGAGTTTTGTTGGATCATTGAACAAAACTGTTTGCAGTCTCACTGTTTTAAAGTCCACTTTATATGCTTTGATTTTGTAACTTGAACAACTTTTTCTAAGATAACAATATGTAATCTATTAACTAGTGATTTCCTATTGTTTATTTTTTCTGAAATTCTGTATAACTTGTATCCTTTTTGGTTTTTTTTTCTTTTTCTCCTTAAATAAAATTTTTAAAAAAGAGAGATCTAGCCACTTCCCCATTCATATCTCCAGCCACCTGACCAAGGATTTACCTCACAATTAGTTTCATTGAGGCAGTAACAATGAAGTTCTCTCTCAAGCTACAGAAAATAAAAACTGTAAATGGAAAAGGAAAAGCTTCCCAATGGTTATATATTTTTTAAATCTTACAAATTTAGATATTAAAACTCCATAGCAAAATGGAAGTAAATGCATATCAATACCTGACAGCATACTCTGTTGTAAATGCAGAACAATATTATATCTGTCCACAAGAGAGAGGTAGTCATTTTTATAAACTGTGCCACTGGATGCCCTGAGATAACAGTTATATTTTCTGTTCTTTATAATTTTTTAAGTGGAGAGCAGCCATTACTCTAATTCTGACACACTGTGGGACACGTGGTCCAGGACTTGTGCCCACCCCACCCATCCCACAGCAGAATTCTCATATGCTCTTGGCTCATGATAGTTTACAAAAATAAATATAAAACAGTAGCAACTCTTTTGTAACCATGGAATTAATCTGACAGTGGTTAAATGTGTCTAAGCATCTTGCATATCTCCAAAATTGCACCAAAAGGATCTGGAAGCTTTTGGTTGGGTCTCAGAGGCAAAACAGAAGGCAGAGGAAGAGGCTGGACTTGCCCCAAACTGTGGTGGTTCCAAGCCAGTCCCAGCCTACACTCATGTCTAAAAGTCTGCATACCTTCCATTGATTAGATAAACCACCTGTGTGTAATCCTGCTTCTTGTAGCTCTTGTAGGCTTGCAGGGTAAACCAAACCAAGATGATGACAAAAGGTCACCCCAACTATAAGCATCAAAACAAGGGATGTTTTGATCACTGAGGATGGGGACACGCTCTCAGTAGTGACTAGTAGGTACTGGCAGTCAGGTCTCTGCACCAGATTCCTGGCCTAACCAGAAGAGAGAAACTCCCCAAGAAGATCTGTTACTCACATCTGCAAGTGCAGTGTTGACAGAAAGCTAGCAGCTTCACTACACAGGTCAAAAAGCTAGCACCTGCCCCCCATAGCTGAACCTGCAGATAGCTGATTCTGTGAAGAACCACAAGAGATACACTGAGTCTGCCAGCACTGTCCTGTACAAACACTGTCCTGTCAACTAGCCTCAGAACCCTACTCAGAGGCTCAAAATTTTGCACCCCCTCACCAGTGCCTCCCTCCCATACCTAAACTTCCTCATAAAACAAGCTTCAGCTCCTTGCTTGGGTCCAATGGTCTTTTTGCCCTCAACCCAACTGTATCCCATCTGCAGTAAAAGCCTCCCTGCCTCAGTGAGCTCAACTGTGCCTCAGTTTACCCTAACACTTGCCTTTGGTGCTGGGCTGGTGCAAAACTGTAGCTGGTATCTAAGGGTTCCCTGAGGTCTAGGTATCATACATCAGAGCCAGTTCCAGATGTGTCTTTAGTCTCCACCTGCTCTGATGTCTGGGGGAGTGGTTGGCCTTCCAGTTCCATGGGTATTTGACAAGTGTTTTGGGGGATGTGGCTTCCACCTCAGGGGTCGGATTGGCAGAAGGCACTGGCACTGTGCTGGTGGTTGGCTCCTTAGCTTGTGCCTGGATTGTGGCCACTGATGTGGAAGACATCAAAGCCATATAAGGGACAGTGGTGGCCTCTGGAGTGGTGTTTGAGGGGGGAGATGTAAACCTACCTGGAGTGCTAAACTCTGGCTGGGCAACTGACCCGACTGGAGGGACCTTATCCCTGGGGATCCACAGAGGATGCAGAGTTCCCGTGGAGTGAGTGTGTGTGCTGAGGAACTGAGGATGCTGGAGGAGCTCCACAGAAGCAGTATGGGCAATCGTGGCCAACGTCGCCCTTGCTATTGTTCTTGGAGATGCATTGGTACTTGACACTGGTGCATGAGGCGAGCTGAGAGAAGGAAACCCAGGGACAGCTGTGATTGGGGCCTGCCACACACATGTGGGGATTGGCGACTTGTGTCTGGCTTCCAGATAAGGACAAAGCAAAAATGCAAAAATATGAGAGCTGTCCACATCTTGCAGGTTAGCTGGGGGCAGAGTGCTGTGGTCCCTGAGGCTCCTCAGGCTGTGAATGATTCCCTGAGTTGAGGCCTTGGCACTGTTTGTTTGCCAGGTCAGGTCTGGCTCTGCAGGTGAGGGCAACGTGACATGCTGTGGCACAGGTGGGACTGAGGCAGCTCCACTGTGGTAAGTGACGCATCCAGGCAGAGCAGGTCCAGGCGGCCGGGCTCCCAAACGAGAGGAAAACACTGGTGGGCAGGTGCAGGAAATAAGTCAGAGGAAGAGTTAGAGCAGCGATCCTAAGGCAACTTTTAAAACACAGTAGCCACGGAGTTAGGCCAGGATTCTCCAGGCAGCTTGAGCTCCTACCTCAGGGGCCTGTCTGCCCATCTCCGTCCAGGCTACAGCGCCCCCTGCAGGCCCGGCGCCCTCCCGCCGCTCACCGAAGCCCAGGGCAGAGACTCCAGGGCTGCCAGGCCCGCGCTGTGCTTTGGGCCTTGTCCACGCAAGGCTGCTTGGGCTCCTTAGGCGCGGGGTGTCGAGAACGGTTCTGGACGCGCCTCTCCTGCCTTTTCCTTCCTGCGCTCATCCATTCCCTCCCAGTCCTTGTCCAGGGGCTGTGGGTCACTCCCCACCGCAGGCTCAGTACTCGCCCCACCGTTAGGGCCACCGTTAGTGGGAGTTTAACCCTCCCAACACGCATGCTCCCTGCACACCTTCACCCAATGCGCATGCTCCTTCCCCTCTTTCTAATGCGCATGTTCCCTGTGAGCTCCCTCCCTAATGCATGCTCTCCCAGTGCCTGGCAATGCCTTCCTTGGCGATTAAGTTTCATAAAATTACAATGTGTGTGGCCCAAAGAACTGTGCTGATATTTTTAATATATCTGTCTACTATGAAAAACGAAGCACAGCTCAGAAGAAAAGAAGGCCCTGTCAGAGTGAGTAGAGCAGAGGCTTCCAGAGTGACCTGATCCAGGGAGGGTCACTGAAGCTGTGATCAGAAGTGGGAGCTCACAGTGAGGCTGTGACGACCTGGCTGGCTGGAGATGCTGTGGCTTATTCCAGCGTGTCCTCATATTAACGAGTTTCATGTCCAGATGTCACCGTCTGAGGTTTTTGGGCATATTTCAGCATATTTTGTGGGAGGTCATTTTCATAACAACTAAAGGCAAAGTGAACATGATAATTCACCAAGACTGTCACCTGACTGACTCCTTCCACCATGGTGTGTCTGCCCAGGGTTCAAGCAACCATGGACTAAAGACTAAAGCTGTGAGCCAAAAATATGCCTTTTTGCATTTAAGTTGTACATGCCAAGCATGTTTTTATTGCAACAAAAAGTCAACCAAAACAGTGATATCCTGATGAAATCCTGGAGCAGAAAAGGGACACTAGGAAAAACCTAAGTAATTATAAATGAAATAATCCCTTAGTCAATACTAATACACCAGTACTGGCTCATTAATCATGACAAGCACACCATCATCAAGTAAGGTATTAACAGCAGGGGAAACCAGGCACAGAGCATATAGACATGCTGCGTATTATCATCACAATTTTTCCATAAATCTGAAGCTGTGATAAAGTTTTTTAAAAAATTAAATGACCTACAGTGAGAGTTCTAGAAAAGTGAAAAAGTGTTTTGTACACATCTGTGCTATGTTCTCAGTACCCTGTCGATATCTGGCATAAGGAATAGGTTTGAGATAAATGAGGGACAAATAGATGACCAGATTGATTTTATTATGTATCTCGTTAAATCTAAATCCTTTCTATAGCTCTCTCTTGACATACATTCTTAATACTTATGGATTTATCTATGAGCAGAGAACTGAAAGATGCCAGGCCCTGTGAAGCCTCTGCACAAGACACTAAATTCTGCAACTCCTCAAACCAGTTTTTAGCCCCATGTACAGGGGGCTGAGAAGCAGGGGGAAGGCAGCTTGCTTGGAAGCACCTCCCCCCAGCAGGGCATAGAGTCAGGCTGTTAACTCAGAGGGCCTCTGGGCACAGACTGTCCCACTACCTCCTACAACCTGCAGCACAGGCATGAGCTTCCTGCCTCTGCTGCACCCCCTGCAGTCACAAGTCTGCAACTTGAGTTTGTGGCTTCTCTCCAGAGCCATAGGGGAAAATGAGGCAATGAACTGTGAGTTAGGGACTTCGAAAGAACGCCTACCACAATCTTACCTCTCAGCCCTGAGTAGGGAGGAAGGAGGGAGAAGTCAGAAAAAAGGCCCTTGGGTGTTGATTGTATATGGCTCTTAAGAGTCTTGTACTGCCTATAAAATCATTGGAATAGGGGTCTGCAGCCCCTCCTGCCCTCACTCAGAAAAAATAAAAAGAAAAGGAAAGAAAAAAAAAGAAGGCATTGTCTGGACCTGTCTCTTTTCTGTCACTGGTGGGAGTTGGGGCAGTGCGGGTTCCATAACCCCAGCCTCTCCACTGTTCCACTGTTGGGAAAGTTCCATGCACTTGCCTCTAAGGCTGCCATGGCCTCCATCACCAGCATCACCACTGTGGCTGATTTCATAAAACCAGGTGAGGAGGTCACCGCCCTGCAGTCCCTTCTCCCCATCCAGGCTGTGGCTGTGGGTGAGGCTGGTGCACTGCCAGGGTGGAGACTGGAAACTGCCACCGACCATGTTAGAAGCTTCTCACCAGGGCAGGAGCTCTGATGGTTATAAAGACATAGGTTTGGATGCAGACAGGGAGAGGACCTTGATGTGGAGAAATAAGCTTGGATTATCAAGGAGCACCTGAAATTCAACCCAGAGGTCCTTGTAATAGAACACAACAGGACGCACACACACACACACACACACACAGACATATACACGGAGAAGAGGAGATCACGTGACCAGAGGCTGAGTTCGTGAAACCATAGTCATAAATCAGGGAATCCAGGTTGCTGCTGGTGCTGGAGGAAACAAGGAGCAGCTGCTTCCCCAGCCTCTGCAGGAGCCCTGGGTTGCCAACACCCCCAGCCCTGGGAGAAAATACATTTCTGGGGGTTAAGCCACACGACTGTTAAAGAACTTGCTGCAGCAGCCTAGGAACACAGATGGTGAAGGATGCACTCGTCAAGTGTCGGGCTCCTTGCATACAGCCACCTTGCACTGCAGAGATGGGCTGCTGCCTGCTGAGGCCATGTCCTCTCAGGAAAAGGTGACGCCCATCAGTGCACAGGGCTGCTGTGCAATTCAGGTGGAAGCAGGACTGAAAGAAGCCACTGTGGGGCCAGATGACCTTTTTTCAGTTGACAGAACCAGACCTAGAGAGATTATGTGCATTTTCTAAGAACAATTAACTAGTTCCTAATGATCAGGGATGCATAATCCCTCAGACCTCTCCACAGGGCCTTGTTATACACAGGTTAAATCACAAAGACCTGACTATAAAATAAAATAATTCAATAAAATAATGGTTAAAATAGAAAAAAAAGATTCAAAATATGGGTAAAATATCATTAAAAGTAGCAAATTAAAGTCAAAGCAAAAGAGTAATGAATGGCCAGGCATTGTAGCACACACTTGTAATCCCAGACTCAGAAACTGAGTCAGGAGGATCACCTACACTCAAGGCCAGCCTGGTGTACATACTAAGGTAAAAAATAGAAGAGAAAAGAAAAAATAAGAGATAAGTACAAAACACCTCCTCAGAACCTACAGAATATCTATAGCTAAGCTTTAAAATAGACAATAGAATAAAGAGGACAAAGAAAGGAAGGAAAGAGAGAGGAGAATAAGGAGGGAAGGAGAAAGGTTGACCTTGAGCTTCCCAGGAGCCAGTGCAAAAGGAGACTGGAGTCAGGTACATAATTCTCATTACTGCAAGGATAAAGCACGCCATTTCTTCAAGGGAAGACCAAGTATTTTCTTGCATTGATTTTAGATATCATTTTTTATATGACCTTTGTCTTCCTTTACTTAGGAGACATGAGAAAATATGTAATAGAATGGCCTCAATATTTCTATAATGAATAATGATGTGTCCTGCAATGGCCTCTGTTTCCTGGAATCTTCAGGCAAAACATCAAGGGGACTCTGCAGTGGACTGTATGGGCTACGCTGGGCACCAAGAAGTGGGTGCCCTATCTCTTTATCCTGCACTCTCCAGAGGATAGTGCCCTTCGGAACACTAGCTCAACACTGTACATCAGGGAGTCTGAGCATGTTCTCAGGCCCAGGTCCAGAGTACGCAGCCTGGTCCTCTCTCTTGGGGAAAGCCAGTCTCACAGATGACACCCTGACCCCCTTCCTAGCAATGAAGCCCTCCACACAGGAAGTGAAAGTGAAGCTGCCCAGGTGCCTCTGCGCAAACCAGCCAACGTATAACCAACACAGTGACACCCCAAACAAGGAAGGAGCACCATCTCGGGCCATTGGACAAAAACATTGACAGAGGAGATACAATGTGTGGGCCTCTGGGTACTGCCTTTTGGCTATACCTAGGCTATTATGGTCAAACCCACAGGCCACAAGAGGCATCTCTGTTGGTCAGTTCTCCTATTCCAAGTCACAAAGACCCGTTCAGGCTCATGTGAGCAATAAAAGTCAATGACTCAAATTACTCACTGTTGATGGTAGAGCTACTCTAGGTCCATCTGGACCCAGGGCTTCCACCACATCACTAGACACTGACCTGCTCCCTAGCCATCTCTTGCCCCTGGTATGGTGGCTTCGCTCTCAGCGGGAGTCTCTACCAACCAAGCAGGATGGTCACTGGCATCTCCAAACCCACAGTCTTGCTAGTGCCTAGAAAAGAAGAGAACCTCTCTTCTCCCAGTGCCCAGCAAGGGCAATTGTGGAATGATCCTCACTGGTCTTCCTTGATTCTGGTGCCTGCCTCCAGAATCATTCATTCATTTATTTAAAATATACACATTTAGTATGTGTCATGTATGGCTCTAGCACTGAGAAATCAGCACTAGGAAGATATCATTCCTCTACACTCTTGAAACTTACTTTTTAGTAGAGGAAGGCAGGCTATCAAGAATCCAAAGCTTAACACATCAGGTGGTGATATACGTACTAAAGAAGAAAAGAGAGTGTGAAGGGTACTCTTCTATCTCCAGTGGCAGGGGCAGTTTCTGATGGGCTAATATTTGAGCAAAAACCTGCAGAAATGAGAAAATGAGCTGTCTTACTTTTTTCTCATTGCTGAGACAAAATATTTGATGCCAAAAATTAAAGGAGGGAAGATTTATTTAGCTCATAGTTTGTGGAAGTTTCAGTTTGTAATTTTATAGTTTCAAGGCAGAGC